TCTACTTGCTTTTCTTATGCAAATCTTCTCACAGGATTAGAAGGGAAAGTAAACAGCAGTCCAACCTTAAGATCTTTTTCTTTTTAGAGGCAGCCTGTTATATAAATCTGAAACAGAAACTGTTTTCATTTGAAGATCAAATAGAAGTTATCTAGTGAAGCTGACAAACAGGGCAGAATAATCTCTTTGCATTTTTGAGAAATGGATAGCTCTGGTTTTGTTTCAAGGCAAGTAACTTTTAAATAATATTTAACGAAATAATTGACCCTGATGTTTAAACTACAACTTCCTTCACGTCATTAAGCTCACTGTTTTTGAAAAAAAAGTTTAGTATCTGAACTCTGGCGTTCGTTCTGCTAATCTCATAATAACATTTGTTTCTTGTGGAATTTTGTTTGATGAACTCATTGGTGAAAAAGAGAAAAAGTTCAGAACAACATGAGCTTTACAGCTCATTTATATTTTTTCTCCCCGAAAAACAGCAAAAGCACCCATATGCAGAATGACTTTTCAGGAATAACTTTTCAGATGGACGGATCAAGAAGAAGCTTCCTACAGCTGAACCATAAGCCTTGAGACAAACTGTGTTCTTTTAAGGTATATTCTGACTTCTAAAAAACATTGCAGTCCTAGACTACAAAAAATGAATTTGTAGAATTTTTTCCTCAGGATAATTAGGCTCTGAGTCTGCTTTTGAAATGTGAGAGAAATGGAACTAACTTCATAAAGTGTGTCTATCACATAAAGCTTTTAGGACAGCCTGATTCACACTATATCCTGCTCTTTGTTCAAGTGACAGATTTCCAACAGCAGAGAGAAGCACATATCTGGGGACTGCTATTATCTAAGCTAAATATGTACATTTTGGATCAGTTCTATTTTATTTGAATACTCACAATTTCTGTTTCGGGATCTTAAGCATGAAAGGACTGCAGAGATGTGCATTTTATTAACTATTTATCATTCTTTGTACATGCACAAAGGTGCATAAACATACACATTTACTAGTCTCTCTGCTCTTCAAGAGTTCAGAAAATTACATGCAAAATTATTTCAAATAAAAGCAAACAAACAAACAACATACTCATTATCATACAAGAAAACAGGTAAAGAAACAAGGTGGGGAGAAATAAAAGCAATAAATGAACAGAGTTTAACTTAATTTTTATTTGTCTGTAAAGGAAAAATATCATGGCAGGAGTGGATAATTATTTTTTTTTTAAGATCCTTGAATTACAAAACACCGGTATCTACCGAAACACTGTTGTGTACCTTGCACATTGTGTACTCACACATAGATGAAAGCTCTTCCTTTGTCCCGCTGGCACACATTTTTTCTCTCCGGTGAGTTCCTATTTTCAATACGAGGACGTATGAGAAATCAGGTTGCTTTACTGCCAACAAAGGACACATAGTTAACATTTCCACTGATAAACAACATTTGAATTCCCTCCACAGGTACAAACAGTCAGCTCAATAACATTTTAAGGCCCAGGATCTAGAGAGCATGGTGATGTTACACAACTGGAGATGTGACGTTATCTGGCAGTCTGAGCAGAGTCACACTGGTCAAGGGACAATACAAATTCTCTGTCAGGCATTGCATTGATGCAGATTGTCTCAACTCCACAAAAGTATCATGCAGTGCAAGCAAGAATAAATTCTCAGAGTCATATCCCATCTCATCATTATCCTCTATCTCTTCCTCCCCTATAACAGAATTGGCATAAGACATCCCTCAGAGCATTCTGTTGCAGTCGCTCAAGCTCCTCTCCAGCTCCTCAGCCCCACATACGAGGTGCCAACTGACTACCTGGTAACAAACTGCGTCTGGCAGAGGGGAGCACCCACATCAGAGCGATGATGTGTGTTTGGAGGAGATGGGGCTATTTCTGTTGCCCCCATAATACCCACACTGACTCAACACCAGCAAGTGAAGACAGGAGGCACCCCCAGCCTGTGGGGCTATTGTGCAGTTCCCTGTCTACATAGGTTGCCTCTGTGTCTGCCAAGCTATATTTTTACTTCTTATGCAGCTACTGCTCTTCAGTTTTACACAGAAGGAGAACATGGCACCTGGGGATGGCAGTCCTTAACCTGAAATACTACAGGTTATAGCAGTTGTTGTTCAGATGTAGTTACTTGCAAAAACTGTTGGCTCTACTTTTTGTGGATTTTATTTTTTTTAGATTGCAAACTACAAAGAAAACAGAACAGTTACTCTTGCCAGTGAATTGGGTGCTGTGCCTTCTATAAGTCACATGAGACCTATCACCAGTATGCAGCTGACACCCAAGCTGATACCTCTTTTCCCAACAACCAAACATAGCTTGCAACATACTGGTAGTGACAGGAGATGGCATTTCTGTTACTCTGGATATACATGTTCATACCATCTCCTGTTACTCTGATGGTGATTTGAGAGGAACCCACCTAGCATGTTGCCTCAGCCTAGGGTGTTAAGAAGGGAGCTGTGCAAAACCAGGCTTCTCTGTGATGCTGAATACACTGCTCTTCCCTATTCTCCTGAGGATGATTTACCTTGAGATTGTGCTGGACCCTGGGAGATTCTCTCACCCCAGTTCTCATATCTACTGCCTTAATACTTGCTAAGGGAACTAGCAAGAGTGACTCTGTCCTAAATTTCATCAGTCTCTGGTTGTCTTGCTTTAGAATCTTCTGTCCTAAAAAACTCTTCTTATCAGGCATGGCTATTTTTTATATCCTTTGCTGAACTGGTATAGAGCGTTTCTGCCCACTGCAAAACAGTCACTGAATATTTCCCCCTGTACATCTGTGCCAAATTCAGTGGTTCTTATGGAGATCATGTCAGTCAACTTGTAAAGAGCTTCAGGGTCTGTAGGTAACATGAGCTTAAACAATATATGCCTTATGTATACATTATATATATATATATACATTTCCTTACCTTTTTCTCCAAACATACTGAGTCTGTCAGAGAACTTTGGGGAAGCTGTAACCATGATGAAGGCACTAATGTTGTGGATACACATAGGATTAAGACTGCTAGCCACTGCAGCGTGTCACTGCTGCCTGCACCTTACTAAAGCACAAAACTCTTGTGACTGGCGTGTCCTCCACTTCACTGAGGTTACATGACAGATGCCAGAAAATGTGTCAACCCACTCCCCACCTCTTCAGCATTATTAGCCCAGGGAGGGAAATGCAGCCAAAGAACACGCACACAACTTTGACAGGTTCTGCCTAATCCACCCACATAATGACATTTCTTATGCTAAGTGCCAGAGCGGTGTAGGGAGGCCACTGCCTGTACCAGCTGCTGGCAAGTCAAAGTTAGTTTCATGGTTATGTTTAAGAGATAGCCTGATGTTACGTTTAGAAGTCTTTGTCTCCTGTGGTGCAGCACTCAGAGAATGACATCAAAAGCCTTCCTAATTCACCCCCCGGGTCATCTGATTATAGGCATGGCACGGAGCCATGCTGCCCCAGGAGACTGTGAGTCACGACGACATCCATGACTATCCTCTTATTCCATGGAAGGAAGTAATGTGCCTTGACCATGAAACAACCAGGAGTAGATTACATCTTTCCTCGTGTCAGCTTAGCCCTGCTGGCTGTTGGGGCAGGCACCGGGGAGGCAAGAGCAGCCTCTCATTTCCCAGCCTTGCTCCTTCCCACCCCTACCTCAGGGAAGCCATTCCTCCCCATGCTGGGACACGCCGTGTGGGCAAACCACATGAGAGGGTTTTGCTCAGCCAGGCAAGGAAGACGATGCTCTGGTTCTCTTCTCCAGTGTGGTGCAGTTACATCACATGGTGAAACATCCATCTCTCCTCCAACAGGCCAGGCATATCTGATCATGAGGATGCTGTGTGTTCTCCATTCCTTGGCATTTGTCCTTGTAATTAGTCTATCTGTTTCTGATTTACTTATTTTCAGGCAGTCTTCTGCACCCTTGCTCCCTCGTTTGGGCACATGGGGCAAACCACAGACTTGCCCTTAAACTACACAGAAAAATAAAATCAGAAACAGACTAACCACAAGAATCAATAGCAAGGGGCAGAAGGCACACAATTGGATACTGGAGCTTCCTTCAGAGATCCATCTGCCTCTAAATGTGATGTAACTAGGCTCACATACCACATCTGCAAAAGGGGGTAACAGATTCCTCTGCGTAACCTGACTGGCAGGGTAAAACTTTGCTGGCTCAGAGAAGCCAAGGCATGTTTAAAAATCATTTCTAAGGAAGAAAAAGAAGTCCGTTTTGTGCTCACAGAGCTAAAGCAATCCCTTTCAAGTCTGACGTGATTCCTGTTAGTGTTATTGTTGCTTCCTAGAATTTAGGCTTGAATTTGGCAGAAGTCAAGAAGCCAAGGCATACACAGAACCATTTGTGAGAATCAGTGTGCCTGTGTGCATGGGCCAATTCTTTCCTGAATAAACACCAGTCACTGGGCTGCTGGGTAAAGTGGCGATATATGATGGCAGTGAGACGTGTAGGCTCACACCCATGAGGAAAGGCTATTTAAGGCAAGTTACCTTTTTCCCTACAAATAAACACAACCAGATAATAAACCACACCTCTCAGTGCCAATAAAATATATGTGTTATATTCCATAACTGTTCCTTGTTTGTCTCCCGAAAGTAACATCATTGCCTGGGAGGTAGTATCAAGCCATTAATCAAAAATAAATGAGCAGTACAGGAAATGAAGGATGTTTATGAGTATAAAATCTTCCTGTGTATCCAGAATACAGGAGCTGCCTGAAAACATTGTGATTAGAGTCAATACACTCGATCCAGCCACACAGACAGTGTGCACAGCTGTCATTCCTATTCTGAACATCCCATTTGATACCCTGGGGTTCTGCAGCCCTTCATCAGGTGAGCGATGTGAGGTTGTTGTTCATGTGATAGATCAGACAGCAGAGAAACACTCCAGACAGAAACCTCTGCTTGTTTCTTACTAGGAAGAATAAATCTTTCCTTCTTTTGGAATCCACAGAAATACAGATGCAAAAGCAGGACATGGATAAATGAGAGAAGACAAGGTATTGCTCCTGCGAGCAGAACATCCTGTCTTCAAAATGGGTGAGTCCTTCCAAACTTCCCAGATATTTCATTGCCATTCAAATAGTTCAATAGGTCTGCCTCCCTCTCCTTCCCGGATACTTTCCAGCATTCTAAGCCATAATAGAAGCAAGTAGAAAATAGAAGTTTGTTTTGAAAAAAGAGATGAGACAAATAAAAGGAAAGAAAAAATAAACAAACAAACAAACCAATCAAAAAAAAAAAAAAAAACCTGAGAATGCCCTAAAATTTCACAGTTAATCTCCTGGACACTGTCACAGAATTTTGCATATCTCCGTGAAGATGTGGTTGATTCTGGTTAATCATTAGCAGAACTTAGGGCAGCTGTATAAACAGCAGATTTCTACACCTACAGGTCTTCATTCATTTCCTCCAGTGAGGTTTTTAATTTGACTGGCAGCTAGCCTATCTGGGCAGCTGATAAGAGAAGAAAAAATCACCCTCCAGTCCTTGCATCGCCACTGCCTTTCCTCTGGTTCTCATCACAGAAGTGTACAAAGAATTAAAGAGCTCCCAATACATTTGTAACCAAATATTTACCCTAAGTGAGGTAGATTATATTTGCTTATTGTACCCATTGCCATCCTGGCATGTGTTCAAGACTGTGTAATTCCTTGGAGTGCTATTGAATAGTTTAAAAAAAAAAAAAAAAGAACTTTGTTTATAACAGACTGTTTGCCAATGAGTGCACATTCGATGTTGTCCAGGGTATAGTACCTCCTGAGCTCACACGCCTGGCGTTTGGGCACTTGGCGTTCTCTCACTTCACAAACAGAGCACTGGGGACAGTCCTGGAACGCGGCCAGTTTACCTTAGTCTGTTGCAGGGTTATTAAGAGTATTTTGAAATTGTCTCAGGCATTTCATGGAGAGAAAACATAATTAAACAATGTTCAGAGGAAACATTCTTTAAGGAAAAAAACCTTCATCTTAATCAGCTTGCTTTTTTGAGAGCATACTTATTTTGAAAACATTTTAAATGGAGACAAATTAAAATATTATTTACAATAAATTATATTTAAATTATTGTTTTCCATAAAGTGAAAACATGGTTCCTTTTAATCCTGTTTTCAACTTTATATAGCATTCATACATTTAACATTTCTCCTACTAAATTGAATATTTTAATGTCATTATAAATTTGGGCTTTCTGGTGTGAGAATGATTTGACACTTACGGAACACTTCCACCATGCCAAATATATTTTCTTCGAATTTTCAATCCCTGAAAAATTCAGCACCTTCACTTTTTTCCCAAGTGCTGGAATTTCCCATAGAATGGAAATTCTGTTTACTGACCAGATCTGCTAAAATTTCTTTCTCTATTAAAAATGAAAAAGGGGGGGGAGGGCGTCACAAATACACAACCGTAAACTTGTCAGAATGTATTTCTTATTGTTGGCTCATATGTTGCCCTCTTTTGGTAGCTTTTGTATTGTACTACACATAAAATATTTAACTGCTGTAGCACTTCAACATCCAAAGGGGACTGTACTGAATGGTAGAACTAAGTAAACGTATGAGGAGAGCAATAGGTTGTGAGTTAGGCACTTAAATAGCTTATGGAGACATCCTGTCAGGAGAAGAAAAGCACTAGGGAATGAATGAGCAGTACAATATAAAACTGGGTTATAAAGGTTAATGAGAAAGAAGAAAAAGGAGAAGGATCTGTAGATACTCGCTCACGTGAATAATTTAATCCCATATCCTGGTTTTGATCTTCTGATGACAAACACGACTTTCAAGTATTTGTTCGATCAAGATTTGTAAAGGGAAGCTCCGCCCTAATCGTCACTCACTTGGTCTTTCTCTGTTACTTATTTCATAATCTACGCAGGGGTCTTATTAAATTCTTATGGATATTGAGTAGTCAATCCCAGAAAAGTGCCTGCTAATTTTCCAAGAATAAATTCCTACCGAAGTTAACACTTTTTTCACTAATAAATTTCTGAATGATAAAATTAAAGATTACGTGTTCTTTTATGCAGTGATTTGTTAATACTAGCTATAAAATCGTGTGATACAGACTGCATTATAAGCCTAGAATAACTATTTAAGCAAACACTGAGGTGTTAATTTTTTCCAGAAGACCGTTTTTTTCCTACTATTTCTGAGTAAAATTTACAAAAAGAAACCACTTCAGTCTGTGACAATGATGAAGAGTTTGAGGAGATGGGTATTCACCTCTACTGACTTTGAAAAAGAATTGAGTACAAACTCCCCCAAAATGCCATTCTTAGAGAACAAACTGCTTGCTAATTCATACAATTCTCAGTTAAAAGCACAATAAATGGTTACATAGAAGAGATATTCCAGCCATATCTGTGTTCCCAGTTCAGCATTTCACAGCCCTATTCTTTAAAGATTAATTTTTCTTGGTTTGAAAATCAGCATCAGGAATTCAGTCTCACAGGAACTCTTTTATGAACAGTCACAGAAATTATTTCAGAGCTCAGAAGGGAACCGTTCCTCCCACCTTGAATTGTGGAGCTTTTGTGGCAACCATATATGATCAGGAAATCTTGGGATAGGAAAGAACTCCCAGCCTTCCAAAGTAAAGACACAAATTCTTCAGTGCTTTGTTCAAATCTATCCTAAAACCCCCAGCAATATGATCTCCCCTTGAAAGACCATGCGACAGCCTTCCCATTTTCACCTTTAAAAGAAATATACTCAAAAGGCATGATTTCATTGCCTTTCTCTCTCTCAATTATATAATGTTTGCTGCTTTAGGATTTTGCACACCTTTGTTCCATGTCTAAGAATATAGCAGCCCAGCCTTATGGAAATAAATGACTGCCTGCTGATTTCAATGCAGCCAATATGCACCTTTCAGTGGCCAAGGGCTCACAGATATGACTTTTTGTCACACGTTTCCTTGCAGGTCTAACCAAATTCCTTCTGCTCCAGGGTAATGAAGTGCTTTAACATGTGCACTGTTTAGCTTGATATGTAGTTCCTTTGTTAAAGCCACCTAGCACGGCAGTAAAGGGAGTTGTAAATCTGCAGCACAGCTCATACACCTAAAGTTAAGTTTATGCTTAATGAGATGTTTGGTTTGAGCCTGACTCTCTCCCCCAAGTGTTTTTTCCAGCCTTTGAATCGTTGTGGGATTTCTTCCAGCTCCTTCCAGTCAGTCAGTGGCTGTCAATATTGAACACAGAGTTGAATGTAATTGCATAGAGTTTTACATGGCCACTATCACCGCCCTGTATTGTGATATGTCTTTATGTGCACAGCCTTTATCATTACATAAATGCATAACTCTCTCCCATCTTGTCCCCTCTCCCCTATACCTTGAAACTGTATCAGCGATAGTGATGGTCATTTCTTTCTTTCTTTCTTTCCTTCTTTCTTTTTTCTTTTTCTTTCTCTTTCTCTTTCTTTCTTTCTTTTTTCCTTCTTTCTTTCTTTCCTTCTTTCCTTCTTGCTTTCTTTCTTGCATTCTTTCTTACACTCTTTCTTACACTCTTTCTTACATTCTTTCTTTCTTCCTTTGAGTTGTTTGGGTGATTTTGTACTCAGCTTTCTAATATCTCCCAGTCCTTTGATATCATTTGTCTTCTGTCTTCTGTTTGCATTCCTACTACTGGTTTAGTATCATCAGCACATTTCACTATTGTGCTGTTTACCTCTACTTTGAGATTACCATAGAGATATTAAATAGAACAATGTCTGTCACAAGTTCCTGCCACGACCCACAATACATTTCTACAAGCTACAACAATTGACCATTGCTCTTTGTTTACATACTTTCTCCCACTTCAGTCTACGCAGCAGTGTTCCCCGCCAAAACAATTGAAGTTCTTTCTCTCAACATGAATACCTGAAACAGTGTCAAGTGACACACGCACTCACCCACATTCCCACCCAGTCTGTGTATCAGCTCACTCACTGAGCATACTACCTTGTTTGCTGAGTGCCAGCTTGGAGCATCCTGACCATAGCCCACAGCCTTGGCCCCCAAATCTGTAATATACAGAATTCATAATGTTTCATATTAACATGAAAGGCACATTTAATATGTTTTATCTTTTACAAGACCATACCACTTGCTGCTCCTGATATTATTTGCCTCAGTGTTTCCTTGGGATTAGTTGGATGACTTAGCTATATGAAATAAACAGAATCTGGCCTAAAATATTTAAAACATTGACCTTGATTTATGACTTTTGAGGTCAGAAAGGACCATTAACTATCCTATCTAACCTCTTCTGTGTCACAGACATTACCCCATTTCCCATATACTGAGCCCAATAATTTCTGCTTGGCTGACACATGTTTTCCAGAAAGGGATTCAGTTTTGATATGTGCACAGTCACTTTCTTGGGCAGTTTGTTTCAGCAGTTCATCACACTTACTGCTACAGATCCAAGCCTCAATGTTTGCTTCAATTTACTTGGCTTACATTTCCAACCACTGATTCTTGTAATACATTAATCTGATGCAAGACGTTTTTTTCTTGTTGTGAAGGTAATTATACAGTGTAATCCAGTCGTCTCATTTTGGTAAGGGAAACAAAACATACTTTCCAATCTACAGGCAGTTCTTACACCTTTTCTCCCGCCCTTTCTCAGATTTCTAGCACCCATTGCGCTGCAACACACTACAGTCATATAGTCAACTTGTATGTCCCTGCTAACCTATTCAAAGAGGACATTATTCCTCTTTCACACCATCAGACTGAGTCCTGTGTCCAATTGCTTTCCCACAATGATACCGAAGACTTTTCAAGCACTGCCCTTGGGATATGATTTCTATTGGATCAATACAGACACCACATGATTTAAAATTCATGTTGTCTGCAGAGGTCCTTCTCACCAAATTTGGGCTGCTCCATCTTCGCAATTTATTTGTAATTCCACCAATTTTAATTTCCTCCCTAATTTACTAAGCATCGTTTTACTAGGGATGTACTTGTCTCCCAACCATTAAGGACAATTCTGTGGCCTGCCAAGCGTAACACCCATTTCTGCAAACTGACTCCAGAGCTTTCATTTGG